GTTGTTTTTTTTAAATTAATGTTGGAATGGTTAATCAATTGTTCTTGCCTTATTTAGTTAATTATTCTCAAAAGATTTAATTAGCTATTTATTGAGAAAATATTTTATGCCAAAAGGCTATGATGTTCAAGTACAACGGATTAAGTACAAATCTAGAAATGGATGAGTAGTAATAGAAATATTATTATTCCAATTGTTAATTTAATATGATAAAATAGATCCGAATGATGTCCAGACCCTAGGTCCAGATCTATGCTTATACTATGTAAACTTAATTTATTATTTTTACTCCACTCCCTTTTTACAATCGCTCCGAGAAGACTTTCATAAACCAATCCTAACCTTCGCCTAGTTAGAGTAATTAAACTGATTCCCTTCGTCCACTCCTCGAGAGACACGACACTCGGAGAGAAAACTAACCCTTTATTGGGAAGGTTTACTACCCGAAAAACTACTACTGTCAAATGGCGCCGTTGTCGGGGAGTGGCACGGCATTAGTTTAATTTCTTCTGATTAGCTTGGGTGAAGATTGGTTAGAACGATCTTCTCACTTCTTTTTCACCAACCACCCGTAATAATTATTATGGATAACTCCAATGGTTATTACGGTCCGCCTCCTTTCTACCAATCACCAAACCGCTCTCCGTTTCAACCCCACCAAACCTATCACCCACATCAGTACCCATACGATGATGACTACCAAGTCAACAATGGGTCTGACTACTATCCCTACCATGAGGAACCACCATATGACACCCCGTCTAGAAACTTTGGATATTCTCCATACCAAGATCCTGATGAGGATGATTATTATGAACCTCATGGTGATCAAGATGACTATGTCCAATCTGGGCCTATGTATGACAATCAACCTGATCCTCTCGTCAAAGAAATCATAAGATTAGAACAGAAAATTTTCTATTTCGACGAAGTCTTATTTGCTGAAGGCTCCTGGTACGAACCACCCTACTCCCGTGACTATACCCTGTTTGCTGAAGAACAAATTGAAGCAAACAAGGTGGCAATTCGAGAAAGAGCAAAACTTCTCGAATCAGTCCGGAAGGAAAAGGAGTTCGAACGGGGATTATGCGAAGGATCGGCATTGATGCAGAAAATGCTGGATGACTTCCAAAGAGAGACTAGAAGCTGAGGCTAAAGCTGATAAATTAGTCAATGATCTCTGTAAGGCTATTGAGCTTAAACGCTCCCTCCAATCTCAAGATCAAATGAGGGAGGATATTGTTCAAAAAGAGACTCTAGAACCTAAGACCAACCCTGAACCATCCATCCATCAGGTGCCAGTTCTAGAAGATTCACCAAGTTCTACACCATCACAGAAACCCGAGAGCATAACAACTGTCGCTAGGGCTACTGTGGTGATGTTACCAAAATCCCTTCCTAGCCAAGTCACAACCAGCATAGTCGTACAGAAGGTGGAACCAACTAAGGGACCTGACTCAGAACCACCTATGCTTAGTCAAGAAAAGGAGGAGGAAGTTTTGCCTATAGCAATAAACGACCATCTCCTTAATTGTGTTGAAGACACACCTCCAGAGGAACCTGTTCTGGAGGAGATAGAGCCCACTACAAGCCCCCAAGATTCCAATGTCCACGAGTCTAAGGAGGAACTTATAGATGAAGAAAAGCCAACTCCGTCTATAGAACCCTATGCAACCAATGATTCATCTGATGATTCAGACTATACTTTCTTTGACTCCCTACTTGACGGGTATGACTACGTCTGCCCGAAGGATGGTTGGAACTTAAAGAGTTGGGATGAACTTCTAGTGAGTGACGACGAGGACTCTTCCTTGGGGGAGGGTATGATCATAATCATCAAACCACAAATGGATAGTCAGTCAATTGAAGATAAGGAAGAAATCAATTTCGCAATCAAAGCCAATGATGTGGATCAACTGAGGAGACTTCTGCCCCCACCCACTTATACAAAGTCTCCTCCATATATCCTGTTGCCACCCAGCCGCGGGGATGAGTCATGTAACGCCCTGCGACCCGGTCTATTAGAATTGATTAATCTAATTAATTAATTACTAACTCGGACCGGGGTTTGGAAAATAAAATCCTTAGAAAAATTATTTGATTATGTCATAATATTCGTTTTGACTGTCTGATTTCAGAAACATAAACGGATCTCAATTCGGACCCGTTCGGGGAAAATACCGCGTACCGATCAGGTAAGATTTTATACAACAGAGTGGAATTTAGGGAGATAACTCCCATTCAAACCACACGCCACTACACTCCTCATTTTCCATAAGCCCCCATCATTATTTTCTCCATTTATCTCTCATAAATCCCCATTACTCTTCTCTTTCAATTTAAACCCGTTCCAATCCCTTTCCTTAGCATTTTGTAACTCCCAAGGCATTCACACACCCTCTCCCTCTTCCCCTTGCATTTTTGGCCAGTTCATAGCAGCCAGGCGAGGTAGTTTCCGGCGAGAAGGAGAAGAAGAAGGGAGAAGGGAAGAAGGGCTACGCGAGAAGCCATACGTTCGTCGTTCGTTGTCCGTTCGTTAGCCGTTCATTCATCCGTTACCGTTATCGTAAATCTCTGCGTTTAGAGGTGAGTACGTTGCCCTCTAACTTTAGAATTCGTAGTATAACCATATCGTTATATTCATAGGATTACCAGCGAAACCTACGTGCACCCACATCGTCATGACTTTTCAGTTATTAGGCCTTTCGATTACACACTTGTTAGTATAAACGTTACAAAACGTTGCAAACTCATCAATACGTAAGCTGGAAACATAAACGTTCATTTCTAAAACCCTCAACGTCTTAATGAAAATCCAACAGGCAAAAATCCAACGTCTTAATGAACCAGCGTGCCTTAATAATCGATTTACAGAATCTGACAATCGATTAGTAGGTCGCGCTGAACTCCTCAGTTTTTCAGCAAGACGTGATAATCGATTATCACCTTGCTGATAATCGATTATTGGGTCCTGCGGAATCTCAAGTCTGGGCTGGGTCTTTTGACAATCGATTATCACATACCTATAATCGATTATCAGGCCTCTGAACTTGGGTGTCCTGAACAAATACTTCGACAATCGATTGTCATGAGGAGACAATCGATTATCATGGCTTGCGGAACTTGGGAACAGGAACTGTGTAACATGATAATCGATTATCACATGTGGTTAATCGATTATCAGCCAGTTCTGAACCTAGGTCCGCCATGTTGAACAAGTTGTTTACATATGGAACCGAATATATTTGCATGTGTTGAATATAATTTCACTCTCCAACCCATGCATTCATATCATCATGTATATCCTAGACGCATATTTAGGACCATGGCATACGTTGCATACCACGGCGAGGGGTCAGGCCCAGTGCGCCTCTTCCGTGGGCCCGTCCAGGAACCTGCGGGATCCATCGGGTTTTCATCATGAGGGCTTGTGTACGTACATGGTAGCTAGGCGTAGCTATCACCCACATTCTAGTCTCCATTGGGATGACTAAGGCGTTCCTCGGCTCATCTACCGCGTGGGGATGATCACCGAAGGGCAGGGGGTCCCTGCGTAGTCTAACTCATGCATCATGTTGTTTGGTATTGCATCATTGATAGTTGTAAACCTTAACCCGTTAAACTTGTATGTGGTATCTCGTACTTAGTTCAGGTACGATCATGTCTATATCAATGTGAATGTGCTATGCGTTCTACTGTTAGATTACCACTCAGCTTTTGCTGAGCGTATAGCGTTGTTTTCCCTTTGCTATACGCAGGTAGGCAAGAGAACCATGGAGCCTGACCCGGATGACTGGGTGATAGGAGCTGTGGATGAACGACAGTGCGGGCCAGATGAATTACTTATTTTATGAAAACGTTTTGGGCATGAACCCACCTTTTGTTGCATTTACGTTATTTATGACCTAACAGTTGTACTTACATTTACTTCTGCTATAAACTTCTTTAAGTGAATCCATCCTCATCATCTAATAAAGCATGTCAAGGGTTTTCCGTTACAAGCCACGCAAGGGGTGTTCCTTGTAGACGGCCTTAAAACCGTTTACGTAACCTCTCCGGCACGTTGGACCGCGGTGAACCGGGTTCGCGGGACGGAGGGTGTTACAAGTCAAGGATCCTGGACCTTGACCGAGCAACAAATCAAACAAGATGGCACCAGAAGAGAGTTAGAAGGGCCAAACTTTATGACTCTCGGATCGGGAAGTCGTGGAAAAAGTGGGTGAGCGTCAAGCTACGGATGTTAAAGAAGCGCTTAAACGGGAGGCAACCCGTCATTCAGATAATTAAATTATTAAATATGCTTACTTGTTATTTACTTGCCGCACTAGTTGGGGGCAAGATTTTACTTGTTTTACTTTTCTATTTCAAACAGATGGATGTTGCTTGGATGATCCCGCATGGAAACCGCCGCACATTACAGAATCTGGAAGAGCTCCCCTTGCACTCAGAAGAAGCAAAGAAGAAGTTTCTCACTTGGGGAAACACAAAGATGCTCTAGCCTCCCATGGTGCTAGACCCTGCCTATCTGGATGAACTGGGGCATTGGCAGGACATTGATGAGTTGCTGTACGACCCAAAATGGAGGATCCTGTTATTCCTGCATGCACCAGCCAACCTGGAAGTCACCATCGAGTTTCTTTGCTCTCTCCGCTTCCTCAATGACGGAGAGGAAGTAAAGTCAGCAGCTGAAGTCACCTCCACCACCAAGGTCACGTTCACTCTGATGGGACGACTGCTGAACCTTACCGTGGCAGACTTAGGGTGGCTGATTGGTCTTTACACGCTTCATGAAACGCGGAGCCTGGCCTTTGCTAATCTGCCCGACCAGTTGGATCCAGAATTCGATGCCAAAAAGTTCTGGCAAGCTCATGGGCATGGTCGATTTCACAGTGGAGCAAGCTTAGCTAGGAATTGGGCACGACCGTCTTGGAGGATTTTGCACCATGCATTGGCTCATAGCTATTTCGGCCGCTCTCAAGAACCTGACGTGGTGTTTGATTCCGATATGCTATTTTTCTGGAGTCTGGAAGCACGCGTTCCAGTCAATCTAGCAACTTTTGTGGCTCGATTCCTATTTGCTGAGTCAACTTGCAACCACCAGTTTATCTTGTGTGGGCCAATGGTTACACTTCTGGGATTATGTATGTCCGTTCCCGATGTTCTTCCAGAAGCTGCAAGCATGTTCCGACCACCGACACAGTATTTGGCCCAGATTGTTTATAATAAGGAAGACAAGGAGGCACATCCTAGAAAGCAGCATATGATTCCTATGACCCTTCGCGAGCTTTTGCAAGCTATGTTTGCATTCCAGGACTGTAGACTCTCGCTTAAGGAGCATGGAGACGCTCCTTCTCACGCAGCAGTGGCAGGTGGAGGAAATACTTGACTACGTCCGGGAACAGGGAACAAAGAAAGCCGAGCATGGGGCAGGTCCTAAACAAAGCAAATGTCAGGGATAGTGAGATCCTTGATTTTCCTATTACTGCATTCAGAACATTAATTTTGGATATTTATATGATCTTACGTTAGAATTCTTCTTTTCATGACTCTTAAAACCCTTTTGAGAATATTTTATGAATTATTTCATACTTACATGTTATGGTCATCTATTATTTCAATCTTCATCTTTGAATTTTATAAGTATTGAGATAACTTAGCAATTGCAAGTGAGCATTTCAACAATTAACTCCAATACCAATAATACTCTTAAACCACGAGGGCGTGGTTCCATTTAAGTGTGAGGAGGAAAGAGGTCTTTGTTGAAATGATCTTTTTAGGAATGGTTTTGTCTATATATTTTTAGGAAAAGATTTTTATAGAATAGTCATCAATTTTAATTGTTTGATTAATTAATCTTTAGTTATCACCCGTAAAAATTGGAGATTTTTAAACTTTTTATCAAACTTCTATTTCTACTCTAACCTTTTTGGGAATGTTTTCTAAAATGATTTGGGATAAATTCACAATTGTCTAAGAGTTTTTAAGATCAGTCAATTTTAAGTTGCTTTATTGAAAATCTTTTTGCAAATACTCATCTGTCTTTTGGGCTCTGAGTATTCGTTGTTTCCTAAAAAGAGTTATTTTCAAAGTATAAGGGGCGATGTTTCAAAGCATACTTTGGTGAGATCGGGATTCTTGTTTTAGCCAAAAAGCAGTTGGTTCTAAGTCAACTGATGAGGCATGGTGAGTATGCCGAAAAGCACGTGGTTCTATATTGCGTGATGAGGCCTTTTGAGTGTTAGAGTCAAAAAACATGCGGTTCTATGTCGTGTGATGAGACTTCCCAGAGTGAATATCCAAAAAGCTCGTGGTTCTATGTCACGGGATGAGGTTATAAATTTTTCTTGTGTCAACATGACAAAGTTATGCCAAAGAAAATTAAACCCTTATACTTTGATTAATACTTTTGCAAGAACATGTCTTCCAATTTAGCCATTAAAAAATTATTTGATCTGTAAAGTACTCTTACAAATGTAGTTATCCCAAAGAAAGTTTGGAAAATTTTGGTTGTTTAGGTTGGTGTAAAAATATTGGTTTGACAAAATTCTTTTACATTTCTAACAATATGGGTGAGAATCTAAAGGTTCATTTATTCTTAACAAAAAGGTTGATGGCTATCTTATTTCTTCTTTCCTTCATAATATGTAGCTTAAACCTTGCCTCTGCAATTATTAATTTGCCTTCATACTTGTAATTATTCAATTTGTTGCTTGAGGGCAAGCAACGTTTAAGTGTGAGGAATTTGATAAGTCCGTTTCGTTCTTATCATTTACATCATATTCTAAACGTTATTGCACGTAAATGATATTTACTCATCTCATAAAATGTGATTTTGATGGATAAAACTCTCATTTTCGTTC